ACAAATAGAGAGTCCTGGCTACTTTCCAGGTCTTTCCTAAACTGGCTGCATTCCTGCCCTTGAGTTTCACGAGACACCGCTGTATCCTTATAACAGATTCCTCTTTTGCTAAAGCTAGTTTGATTTGCTTTCTTTTAGTTGTGACCAAATAACCTAAGATAATATGTCTTACCATTATCACAGCAGCTTTTCCAAATTCTACTATAATTATTTACTTCCCCATAGAGATTCTTTAAGTAAGTAGCTATCACTTATTTTTTCATATCCCCAGCACTGAGTCAGTACTCAATAAATATCTGCAAAGTGATGAAAGAGAAAAGCGTGTCTAGGTGGGAGACATAGCATGATGAAGACTGATACAACAGCCATTACTTCTCATATGGAAATGTTTCTTCATGACTATTGGTGTTTTAAACCCTTAGAATAGTTTTCCACAAACTGCATTCAGTGGCTACCCACTGTGTTGAGATGGGAATAAGTATTCAATGTAAAATGCTTCCACAGTAATTATGTATGGGAAATACTGTGTTACACAGAGTTAGCCATTTTCTTTACCATAGTAATTCTCAAAACCTTTAAAATGATATAGGAAGGTGATAAAACAATCAGGGTTTCCCAATCTCTTTGACCATGGGATCCTTTTTCCACAAAACGACAGAACTCAGCTCAACAACAACAAATAAAATAATTAATTAGTTAAAATTTTTAAAACACTGCTTTTAAAACAGGCAAAAACTAGAATAAATATTATTCCAAAGAAGATATACAAAAGTTAACAAGCACATGAAAAGATGCTCAACATCACTAATCATTATGGAAATGTAAATCAAAACCACGATGAGATACCATGTCACACCCATTAGGATGATTACTATAAAAAAATAGTAAATAACAAATATTGATGAGGATATGGAGAAATTGGAACCTTGTATGCTGTTGGTAGGAATGTAAATGCTATAGCCACTATAGAAAACATTATTGCAGTTTCTTAAAAAATTAAAAATGGAATTACCGTATGATCCAGCAATTCCACTTATAAGCATATACCCAAAATAATTCAAAGCAGAGTCTTGAATAGATATTTGTAAACCACTGTTCATAGCAGCATTATTCACAGTAGCCCAAAGGTGGAAGCAACCTAACTGTTCATCTATGGATGAATGAATAAACAAAATGTGATATAAACATACAATGGATTATTATTCAGCCTTAAAAATTGAGGAAATTCTGACACATTACAACATGAATGAGCCTTGAAAACATTATGTAAAGTGAAATAAGTCAGTCACAAAAAAACCAAATACTGTATGATTTCACTTGTATGAGGTACTAGAGTAGTCAAATTCATAAATACAAACAATAGAATGGTGATTGTCAGGGAGTCGGGGGGAAAGAGGAATAAGGAGTTATTTTTTAATGGGTATAGATTTTCAGTTTTGGAAGTTGAAGAGTTCTGGAGATTGGTTGCACAACAGTGTGAATTTACTTGACACTACTGAACTGTACACTTAAAAATGGTTAAGATAGTAAATTTTATATTATGTGTGTTTTATCAAGATTAAATTAAAAGAAAAAACTTCCCAGAACAGTATCCTCTGAAACAAATATTTTTTAGAAATAATGCCAAGACAATGTGTTGTTCCCCAAAGCACATACATGGAGCAAAGCCATTGTAACATGAAGAAAGTGTAATGATTAACCTTCCTTTTCTGTGAAATTTCCACCATAGTAAGTTGTAAGATAGTCAGTGTAATGCAGTAGCCACTTGTTTCCTCTTACTTGAGAGTGGGTGAAAATCGCAGTTACATTTTCTTTCCTGATGAATAACTTTTAATATTGTATTATGTTGGCCTCTTCTTTCCATCTTTAAATATATGGTGTCAGAGAATGATGATATGAAGAGAATGTTCCGGGCATAAATAGCAACCATCTCCCTCTACTTTCTCCCCTAATTGAGTAGCCACAACACATAGCCCCAAGGAGACCTCTAAGGGCAAGTGTAGACTTCTAAGTATCTAGCAGTAGTGGGTAAGGTGCTAAGTGCCAAGCTTTGGGGGAATTTATCTAATCTGATCAAAATCCTCTGGATCTCCAAAGCTTTTCTTTTACTTCTGATCACATATTCTAAGAGACAATAAAATCTCAGTTCGTTATAATCCTACTGCTGCCATTTGCAAGCTTTCATCTCATCATATAACATCTCGGTAGCTGTTGTCCTCTCTGAAACCCGGGGCCAATACCAGAACAACCTTCTTGCAGCCATCCTGAAGAGTAATGAATAGAAATAAGTTATAAATATAAAATGATGTATAAATCTTTTAGCACCACAGACTTGGGATGTTTGAAGTACACAAAGGACAGACTGATAAGACTGTCAATCCTGTCTCTGATGTATAGACATTTAGAAAGTGGGATCCCATCTATTCAGGCTCTTAGAGCCTCAGTTTAAAAAAAATCAATGATTTCCATCAATGTAGAGAAATGTGCCCTTCTGCCTTTCTGGGGCAAATTTAATGAATTTTCCTGTAAATGTTACAGCCATATGAGACGAGGTTACATTTTATCTGCAGTGTAGCTAGACTCATTATGGACAATTTTCTTAATTCAGAGAGTATTCTGCTCTACAGAGATGCTGCTCTGCTAGTGCCTGGCTACATAGGAGGCATCAGATTGAGTGAATATTAATGTGAGGTTGTTTCCATATTACATAGCTAACATACTGAAAGAAAAACAATTCAAGTTAAAAAGAACCAAGGCTGACAGTTTTAAAACCTTAATGGGGTGCTATTTTCAACTGTGTTAAGTTTTAATATTGAATACCTTGGTCTTCATTAAGGACTTAGTACTTAACATTACATTTCTCTGGGGGTTCTGAAAATATGATAAAAGTGGACTAATAGTCTCTCTATTGTTGAAGTAGTAAGCAATGCTCAACTGTGCCCAAGTACATTTATGCAGCTTTTTCAAAACAATCTGTAGGCTCGCACCCACCAAAATTTTACTGGGAAGTAAAAATTCCATGTTAAAGAAGAATGTGTGTTTATGTGCAACTAACTTGAGGGCCTTTGCATAGAAGCTTTGGGCCTAGAGTTAATAAAAAATAGAACCATTTAATTAGTAGTCCTGAAACCAAAATTCCTTCCTAGTCAATTAGAAGAAATATGTGTTGGCCTAATCAGCTGAATCATTACCATGCTGATACAGTACACTGGTAATTTGTCTTCAATGTCTGGCATTCTGCTTTTTGAGGAAATTAGGGGGAGGAGATGCATATCCCTGCAGGTCTAGTCCCTGTAGCAAAGTTGCTGCTATTCCACTCCAAATACATCTTGTCAACCTCCCATTCACAGGCAGGTCTAGAATCCTACAGAAAACATTTCAGCCATTGAGGGAAATGAGATAGCAATAGAGACATTTTTCTCTTCAGTTCCTTCCTGAGCCTAAGAAGCAGTATTCATACAGCCTTCTTTTTTTTTTCTGTTTCCTCACTCTTTCTTTCTTTTTTTTTTTTACCCTTTTCTTTTTTTTTTTCATACAGCCTTCTTAGGTGTGAAAGAAATAATAAAGTAGACTAGCCTCCCCTTTTTTACTGTAAATCAGAATTGAGCTAATAAAATTCTTACCAGAAGAAAAGGGTAATATATTCTTCATTTCTCCTTTCCTTTCTCTTCCTTTTTCTCAAATCCTCCTTTTCTCCTCTAGCTTATCCACCAGAAGATAGGTGCAAAGGTACAACACTGGCTGTAATTGAGAAAAGGAGCTCAGAGAAGCCATCATTCTACAAATAAGCAAACTTATTATCAGTTACAAAGTGACTTCTCCAAGGTCAGGTTGAGCCCCTTCTCAGTTGTGTCAAATCCGTGTGTGCATGTACTAAGGAGACCCAAATAAAACCACAACAAAAATTAAAACAAAAAACAAAACATTGTGAAATCCTGTTTCCCCACTAGAAAGACAGCAAGGTACTTTGTTGAACATTATCAGAGGCCATTTTGGATGAAATATAGTCTTTCCCCATTTCAGCATCACCACCCAGATAAATGAAGCCTACCTAATGCCCAATAAATCATCAGTGTGTTTTCTTCTTAAAAATGGCAAGTCTTCTCATTATCATTTCAAACCAAAGAGCTTATTATAACACTAGGTATTTTCTTCCAGAGATGCATTAGATTAGGGAATAATAGTAGGTAAACTGATCTCTAGATCTGAAGAGTTTGAGTGACCACTGTAAAAATATTTTCAATTATTTACTGAGAAGAAACTCTCCATTTGTATTTGTGAATCATCACAGCCATTTCCAGGTAAGGTGTTATTCTCTCTAGTGACACTTGACTAGAAAGTGGTCAATAGAAACACTTCGGCACAGACATTCACAAGAAACCTCACTTGAGAGCTCATACTACTGTATGTTCTAAAGACTTTTCTGGATGGTCTTAAAGACAAATTCTTTTAAAAGCAAAAATCAACTTCAAAACCCAATTTTCAAGTTATAAAGGGTTCATTCTTTCTCTTCTGACCTGAGTAAAATATTAGAGACCCAACTACCGCAACAGGCTTATCATATTCCATTTAGCATGGACTAGACCCCTTAATTATAGCTTTAAAATATTTTCTAGGTTTCATACCCTTATCCAGAAAAGAGCACTTTGAGAAACAATAATGATGTTTCCTTCAAAGTAAAGAAAAACTTTCACCTTCTGAAATTCAAGTCTGTGGCTTTTCACAGAAATCTGGCTCTTTCTCACAACATTTTTGTAGTCAGGGACAAATAAGTGTCAGTAGTAACAACATAAACTTTATTATTAAATAACCTGGGCATGCAGATGGTTCTCTCGTTTCAAAGAAGGAAGAATGCCAGGAACACAAACACGCGGAAGTGAAAGGCTGTGCTTGATGCACTTATAGGAATTGGATATGTTTCAGGCCACAGATGCCAGGAGTTTTGTTTTCTTTTTAATTTCATCATGCTTTTAACACCATTTTTCTTTCCACAGTCCCTTTAATGCTTTTGAAAAGATCCATTCATCTGAGTCATCCTAGATGATGGAGAACAGTATGAGCTTTGGACTGAACAGAAGACTCTCCCTCCTCTGACTGGTAAGAGACGACTCTCTAAGTGCCTTATATGTTCAACTTTCAATTAATTCCACTCACACTATACTCCCATTGGAAATGAAGACAAATAGTGTTGCAGTTTTCAGGTATAGCCTCAATATTTACTTCTGGTAACAGCCAAGGATATACTTCTCAGACTCTGGGAATTATAAAAATCACTTTGGAGGAGACATTTTTGACTCTCTTTCTCTTTGCCACAGAGGAGGAGGGACACAGGAATGGTTAAGAAAGCTGGAATAAGGAGAGAGGGTACACCAAACCTGAACACCCCCTTAATCTGACTTCAGACACCCTATTATGTAGAGTTTAATGCAAATATTATTTACCAAGTATGGCAGATTCCTACCACCACCACACCCATGTCCCCTTCAGCCCTTATATTTCAGTGCCAACTGCCACCTGCCAGCATCTGCCTTTCTTTGCCCTTGGGCTTTCTCTGGCCTTAAATTCCTCAGGACTTCTACTCCCCCACACAAACACGAGGCCACAAATGCCAAGAAATAAATGCCTTCTTACAAGAACAGCCTTTGACCAATGACTCACAGAAATTCATGCATAAATATCTCAGTGCCTTTGTTCCTCAGGTGGGATAACTCTGAGCTGTTGATCTACTCTGGGGCCCAGAGCGCCCCAGTGTGATTAAGCTCCAGTTGCCTACAATAGTAATAACACAACTTTATTTTCTGGATTCCATTCTTTGATTTACTCTTCTACTATGTCTCTTGAAATCACACCCTACATAAACTACTTGCACTTGAACCTATGTCTATGGGTTGGCTTAAGACAGTTTTGGGATGTAGACTCTGAATGAAGAGGAGGAGCTGCTTTGTTAGATGAGGTTCATATACACAGCGGGTGCCCCCAAAAAACATATACACATTTTAAGAAAGGGAAACACTGTATTAAAATTGTAATACCCAATATACACCGATAACAAAAGATGAATACAAGTCATGTGTATACATTTTTTGGCACCCCTGGTATACAACCCATCCTCTTCTATATATACCTCTACCAATGGTTCTTAGTCTTGGTGGCAACTTTCCCCCTTATGATTAAATTTTACTTGATTTCATTTGGATATAAATGGTGAGGCTGTCTCCTGCCTCATACTCCAACGCCTGTTTCATCTCCCCCTGTTCTACATTGATGGGTCTTCCGACGACCAATCCTACCCTACCCATAGGTTTAGCTTCACTCAATGTCTGAGTCCTCATAAAGATTTCACACACACACACACACACACACACACACACACACACACAGTTCTTAACATTTTTTATGCTATGAAATACTTTGTCAGCCTGTGGACACATTTCAGAATGTTTTTGAATTCATAAAATCTAATGTATAGGATTACAAAGGAATAGAGTTATAATGAAATATGAATGGTAACCTGGACTCCAGATATTCCTATCCATATACATGTAAACTCAAGGAACTTCTGCCCTTATCATTTTCTTCATTTCCCTCATAAGGCCATGGGACTTATAATTAAATCATGATTTCACACTTGCTGTCTTCCTGGACACTTCTGGCTCTCCAGTGCCAAGTTCAGAGTGAAGATTTTGTGCCCCAGGAGAGAAGTCCTGCTTATCTGTGTTGCTCCTGATTTAATGTCTCACCTCTGCTTTTCCTCATCTTTTATAAGTAGGACCGTTCATATTAATGCCCACTGTATGGATTGCTTAGTTACCAACTAGCTTTCTGCCCTGACATGAGATTGTTGCCTGCCTTGGATCCCTGCTTTGTTCTCATAGCTTTGAATCTTTCAATATAATTTCCATTATACTTCTTCATTATACCTCTAGCTCACTAAGGCCTTCTTTGTTATGATCAGGGGTACTATTTATGATGTCTGTAATTTTCTTTAAAATATTTCAGCATAAACTGCATGATATAGATATGTCAGTTTTAATTTACCCTTAGGAGCAATTAGGGATCCTAGTAAGGAATCCATATCCCAGGAATGGTCAGGAAACAATTAATAACAAAGGCCATTCCAGGGATGGCTAATACAAATGCCTCCACTATCTTTATCTCCCATCCACACGAGGTTTTGCTAATTCGCATAATCAATGGTAGAAATGGATTTTCATTGGTAAAATTTATAGCTTGATAATTAGGCTAAGAGATGTTAGAAATGGCTCTCAGGGGTGCAATTGGTGATACTCAAGATGTATTTATTGGCAAAATATTTTAAAAACACTACTCATCTTTAAGAATCAAACAAGCGCTTTACATTTATCATTGGTTTGAGCACACGTTTAACCCTAAATCCAGAACCTGGTTGATGTTCTGGAATATTCCTGATCACCTCTTTATAGTGGATGTTTAGTAGGTCCCACCACTATAATAATATTGTAGTTGTCAGATGAACATTTTATGCAAGTTATTCATGGAGCACCAGAAAGAACAGAATTCTAGGATTTTAGTTTGGGATTATATGGCACTTCCTGTTTGCTTGTTAATAAATGTCTATGTGTGTAGCAGGATTTGGTCTGAGATTTTCTTTTATCACCAAATTGCAAGAGATGCCAACCCTCACCTACCTCTAAGTTTTGGTGGTTCCTGAGAGCTTCCAAAATGAGCCTAAGAATTGTGATGATCAAATTGCCTTACCTCCTTGCCCTACTCCTTCATCAGAGAATAGTATAGATTTCCCATTATGCACAAGACCATCTTGTTGAATACCCTGGTGCCACCATTTTCCACAATGGGGATTAGGATTGTTTCATCCCATTGGGCTGCCCTCTTTGGTTCCAGCTCTGTTCTTGAGGGAGTCTTCCCTTACCTTCATCTTGTCTTGAATAGGTTTCAGCCCTGTTATGCTGGTTCCTTACCATTACAGGTGTCAAATTCATTCATTCATTCATTCATTCTACAATTATTAGTTGAGCACCTTCTATGTACCATGCAGGGTTCTAGACCCAGATGATATTTCAATCAATAAGACAAATAAGATCTTATGAGTAAAGATGAATAAAATAGGGTGTAAATGTCTAACTATTATGTGGCTTTGTACACCTGAAACTAATAAAAAAAGATGAATAAAATAGTGAACAAGTTAATAGAATAATTTAAGATACTAATAAGTGCTATGAAAAAAAATAAAATAAGATTATGGATGTGGCATTACAGCAGGGGGTTGGCTATTTTGGAAAGGATGGTCAAACAAAGCCACTCTGAAGGTTAATAAGGAGTACACTAAGCAAAGATATTATAATTCTTTGCATCTGAGCACTCTACAGTTAATATTAGTAATCAGTGTGATATGCAGTGAAGGGTGGCACTGAGAACTCTAAAGAGTTCATTTTTAACCTTTTAGGAAGAGCCAGATCCTTGTTAGTACATATACCTCAACTGAAGGTTTAACAACAGGGTGAAAGAATCCCTTAAAGAACCAACATCCATTTAGCTTCCTTTGAAGCAATGTAATGCACAATTAGCACTTGAACTTTTTTCATTGAATTGTTCAGTTAGATTAGTTTGTCTAAACTGACTGGTTTAGCATTTTGTAGTCCACAAATAGACAAAGAAAATCAGTAGAAACCCAGCTTATCTTAATTGGTATTGATGGAGCACTGAGAATCCTAAAATCTGAGATTTAGACGGCCTTCAGAAAGATCAGTGTACCCAGGAAGAAAATGAGTTCCAGAAAATTAACCCAAAAATGGTCACCTTGCGCAACGAAAGTTCTCATGTTTGTATTGCTATTGTTTTTCAAAGATTCTTGGCATTTACATCTCACTTACTGTAAAATAGTTTGTTATGAACTGTTTTTAATTTTAAATATAAAACTAATATGAGCATTAAAGTTAAAATAGGAAAATAAATCACCCACTAATCTACTGCTATCAGTTTTATATTTACCTTTCACGTTTGCTGCATTAAAATATTTATATTATTTTAACCATAGAGTACATAAAATATCACACTTTTAAACCTAACGTTATATTACATGTCTTTTCCATCTTGCTATATAGTGTCTATGTTTTGCTTAATGCCTATAAAATATGCCATTGAGCAGTTATAACCTAATTTAATTAGCAAGTCTCCTATTTTAGCTATTTGGACTGTTTTAAATTTTTGTCGTTATTTGAAAAGTATCTTAATGCATAAGACTGTTCAAGAATTTGCATTATTTCCTTAAACTAAAGTCCCAGAAAGGAAATTACTATACCAAAGGCTTTGAATACTTTTATAGTTCTTAGAAACTTAATATGTTACATTCTATAAAGTTTATACTAATATTCAAAGCAGCTGTAATATCGAAAGGTATCAGATTTAACATATATACTTACCAGCATTCATTTTGTTTTCTTTAAAGATTTTTTTAATTGGGGAATTGGGGGATGGGAACAGCGCTGGGGAATTGGGGGAAGGGGAACAGACAAGTTGCTGTCGCTTTGTTCTTCAGTCTAGTTGTGGAGGACGTTGCTTCACTGACCCAAGTTGGCACCATCATTGCGCTCTTCCCAGGCGAGGCAGATCAGTCGCCGGCTTCTGGACGGCCACTCACGGCAGCTTGAGGGCCGTCACGCTGGCTGCTGGCTACACATGGTAGCCCATGGCAACCCACTGCAGCAGGGGATGCAGCCTACGCCATCGCCAGGGACTCAGGGCAGCTCAGCTCCAGGTTGAGCTGTTGTTCAGCATCTTAGCTGTAGAGGACAGTGTCACTGGCCCTCATATGTGGGATCCGAACCAGGGCCCTCCGGCGTCCCAAGCCAGCTCTTAACCAATGTGCCACTCGGCAGGCCCCCAGCATTCATTTTTAAGACTTTACTAATTAAATGTTGCCACTTTTTTATTGAACATTTACTTGAATTTTCTCTTTTGTGAATTGGCTATTCACATCTTTTTCCTGCTTATTTGTTGGTCTTAGAATTGATCATTCATTCAGACCCTTTGTATATTAGAGATGTTTACCCTCAGGCATTTTTGCTGCAAATATTTTTTCCGAGATGGCTTTTTGTTTT